CGAGTCTTGCCCTCTCAGGACGTCACTTTTGACGAGTCCGTCCCCTACTACCGCCTCTTCCCCTACCGCACTGCCCCGCTCCCCCCCCCGCCTCTCTTCCTCGCGCCAGGTGCTGCTGTCGTAGACCCCCTCCCCCCTCAGGGTGCCGCTCCCTCAGGTGTGTCTCAGGTAGACCCGGTTGAGCCTGTTGAGGTAGCTGTCGACTCTCGTCCTGCTGCGGGTGCTGAGCCTGGGGGTGCGGAGCCTGGGGGTGCGGAGCCTGGGGGTGCTGAGCCTGGGGGTGCGGAGCCTGGGGGTACTGAGCCTGGGGGTGCTGAGCCTGGGGGTGCGGAGCTTGGGGGTACTGAGCCTGGGGGTGCTGAGCCTGGGGGTGCTGAGCCGCAGAGTCCGGAGTCTGGGGGTTCTGAGTCTGGAGGTCCTGAGCCTGAGAGTCCTACACCTGGAGGAGCCCTCTCCTCGGAGCAGCTGCGTGAGTGGTACTTCCAGTACTGCAGCCTCAGGAGAGGTACCTCTGGGGCCAGGCGTACTACTCGGACTGGTGCTAGTGCTTCTCCTCCTAGCCGGGAGCTCCCCTCCCGTGAGCGGATCCGTGAGTGGTACGTGCGTCGCTGCACTCTTCGGAGTGGCGCGCCTGGTGTCGCGGACCCCGCTGCTGCCGTTGGAGCTGCTGCTGGTGCTGAGGACCCGGGCGTTGGAGCTGCTGCTGGTGCTGAGGACCCGGGCGTTGGAGCTGCTGCTGGTACTGCGGACCCGGGTGTTGGAGCTACTGCTGGTTCTGAGGACCCTGGCGCTGGTGCTGCTGCTGGTGCTGTGGAGTCGGGCGTTGGAGCTGCTGCTGGTGCTGAGGACCCGGGAGTTGGAGCTGCTGCTGTTGCTGAGGACCCTGGTGCTGGTGTCTCTGCTGGTTCTGGAGTCGCTGCCCGACACCGGCCGTACTTCGTTCCGCTCCTTCAGCAGGTTCTTGGTCTCCCGCCTTCTCCCGGTCCTCCTCCTCCCTTCGAGTGTCCACAGCCTGTCCAGTCACAGTTACAGTTACAGCCCGCCTCCCCACTGCCTGCTCCTTCTCCCTACACTGGTCCTACTGGAGGTCTTGCTGAGCGTCGTGAGCCTGCGTCTCGCCCTGCGTCGCCTGTCCGTGCTGCTCGCACTAGTGGTCACAGTTCGCGTCAGCGTCCTCCTCCTGTCCCTGGCACGCACCGGATGTCTCTGCGTCCGTCCACTGCTCCTCTGCGTGCCCCTTTGCCTTCTCCTCCTGAGTCCTCTCTTCCTGCTCTTCCTGACCCGGAGTCGGACTCTCTTCGTGCTGCCAGTCCTACTGTCACGCGTCTCCTTGCTACTGTTGTCACTGACCCTTCCTTTGAGTCCACTGCTGCGTTGTGCTTGTTGTGCTTGTGCTTGTTTAGGCTACAGTGGGTTAGTCTATAGGGGGTACACAATTCTAGGGTTAGGTACTTGTACTCATTTCACTGTTAGTTCCAACATTCCTGTTTGTTCATCTCAACACGTTGGTGAGAGTATATCTCTGCCGCCTTTTCCGCTGTGTAGGGACGTGGATTGCCATGTGCATCGAAGGTGCCGACTCCGACGCCGCGGAGCATTCCTTGGAGATGATGAGATGCGGGTCCAGGGAGGGGATGTTCCGGAGTGCCGAACACGACCCGTGTGGCTGTTTCCAGCTCTAGTTGTGATAGTCCCTCCTCAGGCGGTGCGTCGCGCTCTGCTTCGCGAATGGCGGTGAGGCCGCGGCCGGCGATCGCGCTCGTCGAGGTCGTCGGTGTGTGGCAGTCCCTGCAGACTCCGTCAGGATCGGGGTCGTGCAGCGCCAGCTCGCGCGGGTGTGGGTGGTGTGGCACCCAGGGGCGCCCATCGGGGTGCTTCCAATCGCGGCGAAGGATGTGTTCGAAGCGTAGAGGGACGAGGTCGATTAACTCCTGCGAGTCGCCGCTGCAGTCGGGAATGTCGAAGTCGAGAACGTATACGCCGTTCTCGGCGTGCGCCCGTCCGATCTGCTTGCGCGTTTTGTTCGGCATCGTGAAGTGAAGCAGGATGTCGCGCGTCTCGGGGTCGGTGCTGAGAATCACTCCGCAATCCAGGAGCTGCGCCGCCGAGAGTAGATTAAAGCGCAAGTTCTGCACAATCAACACGTCGTTAAGTGTGATGTGCGTTCGGCTCCCTCGTGCCTTGAGCACCACGATGCCTTGCGCGCTTGCGCGCATCCGCGTGTTGTTCGCCACTGTGACGTAAGTGACTTCGGGGGTGGCGACGGCGTTGGATATGTAACGCTCGGAGCCCACCATGTGCTGCCCACAGCAGCTGTCCAGGTACCAGTTGTTGTAGCGCCTGTTATCGTTTCGCGCGAGCAGCGCCAGTCGCGGAGTGACGATGTGCGGAGTGTCAACCTTGAGAAATTGTTCGCGCGCGATCCAGTCGATCGGTGCCGGCCGCATGTCAGGTACGTGCGGAGGGCTCTCAAGCAGCGGGACTGGTAGGTTCCAGTCCTGGTTATCGTCGTCGCTGTAGTCGTGACGCGTGCTGAATGGATTGTTGTTCGGGGACGCCTCGATTGGGTCAGGTGCCGTCTCCGGTGACAGTGAGCGCGCGCGCGGGCGACGAGAGCCGCTTGTCATGGTCATGTTCCCCATGACATTGCGAACGGGGGCAGCTTGTGATGGCTGCTGCTGCTGAGTTGTCGGATTCAAGTTACGCGATGGGGGTTGATACCCCTGGGCGGGACGCATATCGTTCCTCGCGTCTTGTCGGCCGGACCAAGTGCTCGGATTGGTCTGGCGAGGGCGAGATCGGTGCTTGCATCGATCCGCCAAGTGCCCGAAATTTCTGCAGATATTGCAGTAGAGGCGCCGTGGCCGTCGCTCTTCCGTGTTGTCCGCGTAGAAGGCGAGACGTTCTCTCTCTCGTCGTGGCGCTGGTCGCTGCTGGTCCATATCCCGTTGTTCGACGAGGAGGGCGGCGCAAAGGGCGGCCTCCGAGATGACCCCCTGCTGTCGGAGCAGCGCCTTGCAGGGCCGCCACTCGGGTCCGAGCCCTTGGAGTACGATGTTTACGAAGATTTCTTCAGAAATCGTACTCCCCAATTTCGCGATTTGATCGCGTAAGCTCCGACAGCGATTCAGATAGCTGTTGGCATTCTCTCCTGGTGCCATCTTGGTCTCCAGTAGCTGCTGGAGAAGGCGGCTCGACGACACTGAGTCCTTGGGTTGGTACACACCGTTCAGGTGGAGCTGGGGAAGTCTTGTATGAGCGAATGCTCAATTGCTCCGTCGGCGACATATTTCGCAGAAGAACCCCGTACGCCATCAGGGACTCGTTGTAGTACTTGGTTTTTGCGTCGTCAGTATCTTCCGTAGGTCCCGAGTAGCTCCCGTCGAAATAATGATAAATCTGCGCGTTTTGCAGCAGCAGCTCCAGCTCGAAGCTCCAGGTATAGAAGTCTCTGCCGTCAAAGCACACACTTGTCTTTATTTTTTATATGCTCAAAAACCTTGATTGCGCAGAGAGAATCGCTTCATCGCTGGGACAGGGAGTTTTGGGTGTTGAGCTTGTGTCAAGAGAGAAGCCTTGCGGGGCGGAGTTCTGGCCGTTCGAGGCCGGTTGAGTGGGTTGGGAAGATGTTCCCGCGTCGCCATTCCGCAATGTTTGGAGCCCTTGCTCCAGGCTCGTGAGTCGCTGAAGCAGTTGTGCGAGGACGACGGAAGGGATTGTCGTCGTGTCCTCGTTTGTCGCAGCTGGATTAGTCTGCGCTTCAGCCGTCAGATTCGTCTGACCTCCAGATCCTCCGGCCATTCTCACACGTGAGCGTGTGCCGGACGCCACTTTCCGTTCGCCGAATATTTCGGTGGTGGCGTTGCGAAGGATTCATGAGTCGCTCTCATACCATGTTGCGATCAGAAGTTGATCGCCCTCAGGATCACCTCAGGAAGGTTCGCAGAGTTTCTAATCTAGTGGTGGTGGGCCCTTGACCTCAATAGCAGAGTGAATGTAAATGCTTGAGATGAATAAAAGCATGCGGTACAAGGAATATAAATATGAGTACAGGGGAATTCGAAACGACCTAGCTAGCCATGTACTCTAAGGGGTACATTCCCTTATTACAGCGAAATCCAACCGTGCGACTCCGGGTGGTTACGGAACTGTTCGTGCAGAATCCTCGCCACTGCTGCTGCCTGATGCTGTCTGCCCGACGTTCCAGATGCTCCTCGTAACCGTCTGTCCCTTCGCATTTCTTCTGCCTTTTCGTCTTCGCTCTCGATAGTGCGTGCTTCGGCTTTGCTACGGTGAGGAGTGCTCAATAGTGTTTTCACTAACCACTATTCGTAACATTTAATACGGGGGGGGGGTCTTTTATTATGGGCTGTTTGAGTTAGACCCCCCTTTTGGGGTGAAATCATTATAGGACCCCCCACTTTATTTATATTTTTACATTTTTCGAATAAAAAAAAGGTGTGTGAATACCGAGGCGGCCTGAGACGGTGCAGTGGACGTGGTACATTTCAATCGACCCCCCCTCGAGTGCTACGCCCCAAAGAATGTGGCCGATCAGAATGCCACATTCAATTTCTAGTCTGATAATGCCTGCCTCCTCCTGCCGAAACTGATTCGCGTGGGTATTGAGCGTTTTTTTAACGGAGCAATCACTTCCTGCATGAATGCAATTCATTACATCTGTCTAAACACATACCATATCTTGAGACCCGGGTCTTATAAATCAATAGAAGACCCTAGGGTCTTCTATCCGGGGGATTACGGTATTAGGAACGTCTGAACTGCTGCCACTTGTGCGTCTCTTGGTAATTGAGAGCTACTGGCATGCCAACTGATATGAAAATAAGAACACATAATAGCTGAGCAAGTGTACAACAGAGTTAAGCACATGGTAATAAACTTCATGAAAGCAACTAAATCCTAGTATTATCTTGTCATCAGGGTCATATCCACCAGCAAACGGCGACTGAACTAATGCACCAGCCTTATGAAAGCAGTTATCAAGCATCATCAAACTCACGCTCTTCCTCATCCAGAGGAGTATCATCCAGCGTCGCCTCCTGATACTGCTGGTACTCGGAAACCAGGTCGTTCATGTTGCTCTCTGCTTCCGTGAACTCCATCTCATCCATGCCTTCGCCTGTGTACCAATGCAAGAAGGCCTTCCTCCTGAACATGGCCGTGAACTGCTCACCAACCCTCTTGAACATTTCTTGGATCGAGGTGGAGTTCCCAATAAACGTGGATGACATCTTTAGTCCCGTAGGAGCTACGTCGCACACACTCGACTTCACGTTGTTGGGGATCCACTCCACAAAGTACGAGGAGGTCTTGTTCTGAATATTCAGCATCTGTTCGTCAACCTCCTTCGTGCTGACTTTTCCCCTGAACACTGCTGAAGCAGTCAAGTAGCGACCATGGCGTGGATCTGCAGCGCACATCATGTTCTTCGCATCCCACATCTGCTGAGTGAGCTCAGGAACCGTCAATGACCTGTACTGCTGGGAACCCCGAGAAGTCAGAGGAGCGAATCCAACCATGAAGAAATGCAAACGAGGGAACGGAATCAAGTTGACGGCAAGCTTCCTGAGGTCGGAGTTAAGCTGTCCAGGGAAGCGAAGACAGCACGTGACCCCACTCATGGTCGCAGATATAAGATGATTCAAATCTCCAACTGCAAGAAAAACAGAAAATTCATAAGTACGAAGACGATAAGACGCAAGCACTAACTCAAGAAGGACTTGTGGGCGCAAACTTACAGCTCGGATTAGCCAGCTTCAGAGTTCGGAAGCAGATGTCATAAAGCGCCTCGTTGTCAAGAACCATGCACTCATCCGCATTCTCGACCAGTTGATGGACAGAAAGCGTCGCGTTGTACGGCTCTACAACGGTATCAGAAACCTTCGGCGAAGGGAACACCGAGAAGGTCATCATCATCCTGTCGGGGAACTCTTCACGCATCTTGGAAATTAGGAGGGTTCCCATTCCAGAACCGGTTCCGCCGCCAAGAGAGTGACATATTTGGAAACCTGTAACCATGAAACGAAACTGAATAAGCATCGATCTCTGAGGAAGATAAACATTCAGCATGCTTGAAACAGTCATACCTTGAAGGCAGTCACAGTTCTCGGCCTCCTTTCGAACAACATCGAGAACGGAGTCGATAAGCTCAGCACCTTCCGTGTAGTGGCCTTTAGCCCAATTATTTCCAGCACCACTCTGACCGAAGACAAAATTGTCCGGCCTGAAGATCTTCCCGTAAGGACCAGCGCGAACGCTATCCAAGACACCGGGTTCTAGATCCATAAGGACAGACCGAGGAACATAACGGCCTTCGGATGCTTCATTGAAGTAAACATTGATCCGCTCAAGCTGAAGGGTGGAAGTCCCACGATAATCACCGACTGGATTAATTCCATGTTCTTCACAAATGACTTCCCAAAACTTGGCACCGATCTGATTCCCGCACTGGCCTGCCTGAACGTGGAGAATTTCCCTCATGGTCGTAGTTGTCTCAGCAGAAGTGGATTCAAAACAGAAACAGAAGCAACTGGCTGTCTCAGCTGAACTGGCTTCAAAATGAAGCAAACTGAACGGAAAGGAGATGGCGTTCTCGAAGCTGTTCCCGCTCTCTTTGTAGCCAAAAAGCCCACACCGTGCGACTTGTCAGATCGCGGCCTCGAGATTGGTGCTTCCTGGAGACAGAGAGACGCAAATATCTAGGCACTGTACACTCAAAATAGCCGACCAAGGCGCCAACATAATATGAGCACCCAACAGCTTATATTACTATACAATGTACCCCAAACTCAACTACCTATTCTTCTACCACAATCTGGTATGTATCCTTTCACAGCACCCCAAACGCAACTATTCTTCTAGACATTGTAGCACATCCACCAAATACTTTTTTGCCTAACTTAATCATTCTAGGCATTGTTGCACATTCACCAAAAAACTTTCTGCCTTCATTTCCAACACGATTGTACGCTGCTAATTGCAAACACGAACAATGCCATCCTCGCCTCCGGCAAGGAAGAGGCGAGAGTAGGGAAGCACATCCAACGAGAATATGGGGGTTGACCTAGAGGATTGAATGTTGTCAATCACTTGTTGTGCATGGAATGGTAGATTGGTATCCTGATGGGGAAATCCGACAATAATGAACAACAGGATACATGTTATGGAGAAGGAGGTCACAAGGACAACCTAGAGTAAAAAGAGTATACGGAAACAAATCGTAGGCATGAAAAAACAACAAACGCGGTATCATGACACAAGCGTTACATACAGGAAATCACGAGGATGAAAAAAATACAAAGCTTACCGAATGGGGAGGCGGCCAGTGAACGACAAGCTCATGGCTCGAGAACTTGACACGGGTGCGAGAATTTGCAACCTGCGACAATCCCGAGACATTCGTCACGCCAATATGACTCCCCGCTGCCGTCATCACCACCCGACCCAGCGTCATGCTGGGCGGCATTAAATCCGCGCCAACGCCGCCCAGCCCTCCGCCTGCTCCAGATGTACCTCCCCCAGATGAAGGCGTGAGCATGGTGGGCGTGAGAGCAACCATTGCTGTGATGCCTTGCGTGTGAGCCACCACTCTCTCCACTGCTGCCATGTCAGCAGCTCTGGATTGGCCAAGGAGTTGAAGGGAGGGAAGGGTGGGTAAAGCGGAAGTAGGCTGGGCGGATGAGAAAGGCCTACACATAGTATATGATTGCCGTGAGGTTGAGTGCATTCCTTCCGATACCTACAGGGATATGGTCGAGTCAGGACAACGACAGCAGCTGCTTATAAGGGACTTTGAAGATGTGTACAAAGAGAATGAGAAAGACTTGTGGGTGAGTGCATACCTTCTGATATCCCACAGGGCTATGGTCGAGTCTGTGGATGAGGACAGCAGCTGATACTCGCCACATGGCACGAGCTGGTTGGTTGAGTAGCAAGTGGGGAAAGCGACAAAGACAGGACAGGCGACAGGAAAACATGAAGTAGCAAATGTGTGAGGAGGAAAGGACGACTGTACCGAGAGTGAAATGGAGTAAGACTAAGAGGGGAACAAGCACAAACAGTGCAGAATCGAATCTTGCGAATTTCTGACCACCCAAAACCAGCAGCCACACGACAAGTTCTAGGCGCCTAGAAATTAAACCTGAAGCCATGGCACTCACCCCTGTAACCCTCCCCGAGTGTGCCTTGACCCGTGCCACCACCATCCCCGTCGTCCAATCAAGGAACGCCAGGTGTCCCGAGTGGAAACCCACAGAAACACATTTGGTAGAGACAGGAGAGCGTGTGTTAGCAGAGGAGGAAGAGGAGGAGGGGGGAGGAGGAGGAGGGGGAGCGGCGGTGGGATTGGTGGGAGGAGGAGGTGGTGGTGGCAGCAGAGGCGAGGGCAGTGACTGGAGTACAGAAGGGCTCTGATAGACCGCACTGCCAGAGGGAGAGCAGGCGCCCCGCACACATGTCCACGAGGCTGAGGGGTGGAAGTAGGGGGGACAAAGCTTGCTTAGACTAGCATGCACACATGCAGCACACATGCACACCAGATGCGCACCGGATACACACCAGATACGATGCAGCACAGAGCAGAGCAAACCCACCGGATGCAGCCTGTAGAGGTGCCGGCCACAAGCCGGTTCCCCCCTGCTGGCCCCAGGAAGAGCAGCGAGGTGCATCGGCACACAGTCATGGGGCTGCTAACGCTGCGCGCCCTCCCTCCCATGCAGCACACGAGTAACACAAGAAGCACGGGGAACTTACCGGATGCATCCTGTGGACGTGCCGGCCACGAGCCTGTTCCCCCCTGCTGGCCCCAGGAAGAGCAGAGAAGACACGCAAGACACAGGAGAAACACAAGACACACTAGGCACCCACCGGATGCATCCTGTGGACGTGCCGGCCACGAGCCTGTTCCCCCCTGCTGGCCCCAGGAACAGCAGCGAGGTGTATCGGCACACGGTCATGGGGCTGCTAACGCTGCGCGCCCTCCCATGCAGCACACGAAGAGCACAAGAAACATGAATAACCCACCGGATGCAGCCTGTTGACGTGCCGGCCACGAGCCGGTTCCCCCCTGCTGGCCCCAGGAACAGCAGCGAGGTGTATCGGCACACAGTCATGGGGCTGCTAAAGCTACGCCCCCTCCCATGCCTCGGCGTCCCAGGCTTCCCCGAACCTCCCGCCGAGCCGTCTCCCGAGCCTGACCCGGCGAGGTCCGGGAGAGCGGACGAGGAGAGGGAGTGTGGGGAGGGGTGGGATCTGGGAGTGGTTGAGAGGGAGGAGAGGGAGGAGAAGGGATGGTAGGAGAAGAGAGAGGAGGACATGCGAGGGGAGGCGGGGATCCCGCTTGCCACTCCGGCTGTAGCGGCGGCGAAAGAGGAGAAGATCGAGGATGTAGCAGCGGGATCGAGAGAGGAGGTCTGGTCCGGAAGCTGGCCGATAGGCATGGCGAGGCGGGGGGAAGAGGAGAAATACGCGAGGGGGTTTCCTGCTGCACCTGCTGCGGCGGCAGCGGCAGCGGCAGCGGCGGAGAGGGTAGGGGTGGAGGAGGAGTGGTGTGAGTACAGCTGCTGCTGCTCCCGCTGCTGCTGCTGCTGCTGCTGGAGGTGTGCTGCTAGAGACGAAGGCGGCTCTTCAAAGAGAGATAAGAGCTCTCCAGAGGATGAGTCCCATACGTGAATTACTTCGTCGCATGTTGCTACCAACGAGGTGCCTTGTAATGCACACACGGCAAGAGGAACTTCGGTATGGCCTGAGTATTCTAAGGTACAGTCCCCTGACCCCACGTCCCACACCCGCACCCTCTCCCCTCCTCCCCCTCCGCCCCCGCCTCCCCGGCTTCTCCCCACTCGTCCTCCCCCTCCTGCTCTTCCCTCTCTCCCCCCTCCCCCTCCTCCACTCCTCTCTGACAATGACCCTCCCCTCCCTATAGTCACAAATGCCTCTTCATTCTCCAAAACTGCTATTCCCGTAATAGGCCCGTCGTGTGCCGCCCAGGATCTGAGTACAGACAAATTCAGATGCCACCCGGGTTGGGATTCCTCCCTGTCGCGAGCCATCCACGAGCTGCCACCTCCCCCAGAAACAGACGAAACAGCACTCATACTGGCAAGGCTGACTGAACTCCCCCCTGCCCCGCCCCCTCCTCCCCCAAGCCTCCTCCCCACGTCCCACCCCTCCTCATCCGGAGGGGCATCTAAACGTTTTTCGGGCAGCCAGAACCACGGCTCGGGCGGTTCGGGCAGGGAGGAACTTTCCTCTGGGCTGCCCGGGTGCGTCTCGAGCAAAGATTCGGCTGACGTGGCGAGCCGGGATAGGCTGGTGGTTGCAGCAGCGGTGGTGGGGAGACCGCCAGCAGCAGAGGCGCCAGCAGACGAAAGCATGCGGGAATCTTCCGCTGATGAGCTGGCGCTGACTGTACGGGAGTGAGAGGGTGACCTGTTAAGTGTTGGCATGGGAAGGGACCAACCGAATCCGTCTAAGAGCAGAGAAGAGGGGGTGAGAGCCGCTGCTACCATGCCCAGACGCTTAGATAAGTTCCCAGCTTTAGGGGCGAGTTTAGGGGATTCGGATGAAGCAGCAGGGGCTGCTGTAGCCGCTGCAGCTTCAACGTCTGTAGCAGCAGAATCGGTTGCGTCAGCAGCGGCTGTAGCGGCTGTTGCTGCAGTGGTAGGGTAGGAAGGAGGTTTCCTGGCAGCTTCTGGATCAGTAGGAGGGGCAATTGGAGGAGAATTGACAGGAGAGGTCACAGTGTGAATTGCGAATAGCTTCGCTGCTGCTGCTGCTGCCGCTGTTGCTGCTGCTGCCGCTGCTGCTGCTGTTGGTGATACAGGTGCGTCTGCTGCCAGTGAAGCAGGAGAGGCAGCAGAAGCACCAGCAGCAGAAGAAGGTTCAACGGTGGGAAACCCAAGGTCTGGCTCAGAATTAGTCGAGTCAAGGGAAAGCCCTGACTCGTTGGCCTGAAGGGGCAAGGGGAGTGGGGGGTGGGGCAAGGGATTGGGGGGAATTTCTGAGTTGACTGTTGACTCAACAAGCAGGCTCAGTGGAAGAGGGATTAGCAGTGGTGGTGGTGGTGATGGTAGTGATGGTGGTAGTGGCGGCAATGCCAAGGTCTGGCTCAGTTAGTCGAGTCAAGGGAAAGCCCTGACTCGTTGGCCTGAAGGGGCAAGGGGAGTGGGTGAAGAGGAGTGGGGCAAGGGATTGTGGGAGGTTGACTCGAGAAGAAAGTTCGGTGGTGGCAATCCCAAAGTCTGGATCAAAATGAGAGGTGTCAAGGGAAAGGTCTGACTCGTTGAGGGAGGGGAGGGGGGGATGGGGCAAAGGGGTGTGGAGGGAGGGGAGTGGGGAAAGGGGAGTGGAGTGGGGGGAGGGGAGTGGGGGGAGGGGAGTGGGGGAAGGGGAGTGGGGGAAGGGGAGTGGGACAGGGGATTGGGGAGGATCTGAGGTGACTCGATAGGCAGGCTCAGTGGCACGGGCATTATCAAAAGTGGTGCTGGTAGTGGTGGTGATGGTAAACACATAACACATACCTCGTCCATAGCAAACATGTCGTACACGCCTGTGAGGACACCAGCCAGCAGGTCCCTACACACTGCAGTCTTGCACACACATGGGTTCAGCATAGACACACACGCCCAACACAAACACACACACATACCTCGTCCATAGCAAACATGTCGTATACGCCTGTGAGGACACCAGCCAGCAGCTCCCTACACACTGCAGTCTTGCACACACATGGGTTCAGCATAGACACACACGCCCAACACAAACACACACACATACCTCGTCCATAGCAAACATGTCGTATACGCCTGTGAGGACACCAGCCAGCAGATCCCTACACACTGCAGTCTTGCACACACATGGGTTCAGCATAGACACACACGCCCAACACAAACACATAACACATACCTCGTCCATAGCAAACATGTCGTATACGCCTGTGAGGACACCAGCCAGCAGCTCCCTACACACTGCAGTCTTGCACACACATGGGTTCACAGCATAGACACACACGCCCAACTCAAACACATAACACATACCTCGTCCATAGCAAACATGTCGTATACGCCTGTGAGGACACCAGCCAGCAGCTCCCGCCTCTCCTCGTCCCCTCCCACATCCAACAACCGTCTTCTCCTCCCCCCTGCCCCCTGCTGCCCTTGCTGTTGCTGCTCCTCACTCATCTTCATGTGTGCTAGCGCTGCTTGTAGCCTTGGCACCAGGTGACGTCTCAAAGCCTTCTCTCCCAACTTGGAAGCTGGGACAGGGAGAGGGAAGAAGAGGGGGAACGGAAGGGAAATGCACAAGTTTCATTTGGAGCAATCCCCCCCTGGTGCTGCTGTCCCTGCTGCTGCTGCTGCCGCTGCTCCTCACTCATCTTCATGTGTGCTAGCGCTGCTTGTAGCCTAGGCACCAGGTGTCGTCTCGAGGCCTTCTCTCCCAACTTGGAAGCTGGGACAGGGAGAGGGAAGAAGAGGGGGAACGGAAGGGAAATGCAAGTTTCATACGGAAATTTTCCCCCCTGGTGCTGCTGCCCCTGCTGCCGTTGCTCCTCACTCATCTTCATGTGAGCTAGAGCTGCCTGTAGCCTCGGCACGAGGTGTCGTCTCGAGGCCCGTTCTCCCAGCTTGGAAGCTGCAAAAGGGGACAAGGGAAGGGCGAGAAAGGAAATACATTCGTTCCTGCCTACACGCTCTCCTCACTCATCTTCATGTGTGCTAGAGCTGCTTGTAGCCTCGGCACCAGGTGGCGTCTCGAGGCCTTTTCTCCCAACTTGGAAGCTGCGAAAGGGGACAAGGGAAGGGCGAGAAGGGAAATGAGTTCTCTCCTGCCTACGTGCTTTATCTACATGCTCTCCTCACTCATCTTCATGTGAGCTAGCGCTGCTTGTAGCCTAGGCACCAGGTGACGTCTCGAGGCCTTTTCTCCCAACTTGGAAGCTGGGGCAGGGGAATGGAAAGGGATGAGCGGAAACAAAGGGAAATTACCCCTGCTGCCTACGTGCCCCCCCTGCTGCCCCTGCACCTGCTGCTGCTGCCATTGCTCCTCACTCAGCCTCCTCTTCATGTTCATGTGAGCTAGAGCAAAGCAAAGCAAAGCAGAGATGACTTTTGAGTCGACTCAAAAGTCAGCCTCCTCTTCGTGTTCATGTGAGCTAGAGCAAAGCAAAGCAAAGGCTACAGCAAAGCAAAGCAAGGCGTACCGATATCAATAGACAGGTCGTGAATGTGGGAGGCATGTCGGGAAGGTCCCATGGTGATGTGAGCTTACAACAAACAAAGAGGTAGCCTTTGAGTGGATGTACAAAGCAAGACGTACCTATATCAAAGAACAGATCGTGCAGGTGGGAGGCGTGTTGCATGCTGCGGCGTGTTGCAGTGGCCCCGCTAAAAGGGTTCCTCACCTCACGAGTGCGCGTTCAAAGCAAGACGTACCTATATCAATAGACAGGTCGTGAATGTGGGAGGCGTATTGCATGGGACCCCTGGCAATGTGAGTGAAAGAGGAGAGACTGTCTAGCAGATAGTGATGGGAAGAGGGGTGGCGCTTGAGTGACCGCAAAGCAGCACGTACCAATTTCAATAAACAGGTCGTGAAGGTGGGAGGCGTGTTGGAGGGGACCCCTGGCAATGTGAGTGAAAGAAGAGAGACTGTCTAGCAGATAGTGATGGGAAGAGGGGTGGCGTTTGAGTGACCACAAAGCAGCACGTACCAATTTCAATAAACAGGTCGTGAAGGTGGGAGGCATGTTGGAGGGGACCCCTGGTGATGTGAGCGATGAGAGGAGCAATGGTCTGGCTGATGGTGATCGGGAGAGGGAGCAGGGCCACCGATTCAATCAGAGCCGTTGATGCCGCATAGCACGGACTGGCTTGAAGCGCAGGAGTCGATCCTGTCCGTACGATCGCGGATCCCGACCGAGGAAGCCCGAGCTTGGACCGAGCTGCCGACGCAGGTCCGGACCGAGGCTGTGCTGCGGATTGGGATCGGTCTAGGCGGGGAACGGGAGCAGCGGAGGAAGAGGACGAGGAGGAGGTGGAGGCTGCAGAAGGGGTGGTGGTGGGGAGGGAGAAGAGAGAGGAGCGAAGCAACGAAGGATGCAGCCGTTCTATATACTCCGGTAACCCTACAGACACAGCAAGCTTATCCCACACCCCTTCATCGAACACAATCTCATTCAACCCCTTTGGTTCATTCGCTTCCACTGCTCGCACTGCCAGCGGCACCAGCAGAGCCACAATCGCCCTCCGGCCGAGACCCCTTGTGGGATGCAGCAAACCGTTCAGAACCACTGTGATGTGGGATTGAACCGCAGGGTCGGAGAGATCCAGGGCTGGTTGCTGTAACAGGGTTACCACCTCGCATGCGCACATCCATAGTGCCACTTCCTCCTCGCGGATCACCCTCCCGTCTCCCCCTTCCTGGTCTCTCAAGCCCTCCATTCGCTCCCGGCTGTTCCGCCCGCTGCTGCTGCTCCGGCCGATCGCGTGCGTCCGCAGCTTCGTCCCCAAGCCTCCCTGCTTGGCTCGGGACGCGGTGAACGCAAGCCGCTGGCTCGGGAACGGGAGGGAGTGCAGCGAAGCGAGGAACGAGTGGGCCGACCGAACGGCAGGACTGAAAAAGGACGAAGCGAGGACTGTAGCAGCGGTCGGGCGGCGGGCGGGGTTGCGGTCTACTAGCCCCCGGATAACCGGTTGCACGGAGCTCGGCAGGTTGTAGAAAGCGGGCGGCAGGCTGCCGACCGTGGCGAAGACGTGTGCTGAGTCCGGGTCGAAAAGCGGGCGGCGGAGGAAAATTTCCGCGATCACGCAGCCGGCCACGAAAATATCTTCCGCCCAACAGGAGCAGGAGGATGAGGAAGAGGACGAGGATGAGGATGGGCCTTGCTTGTCCGTTTCTTCCTCCTCCTGCCCCATATGATGTCTGTTTGCTGTAACCATGGCACCAGCAGCAGCAACACCAGCAGCAGCATTAGCAGACCCAATCCCCCCCCTCCGGTAAACCCTGGGGGAGACAGGAGGCGGGGCAAGGATCTCTGGTGGCGGCCAATAGATGGGTGACAGGTGGCGCGTGGATTCGAGGAATCGGGAGAAGTCCTCTACTTGCTGGAGTGTGCGTGACATTGATAGAGGGGGGCGGGATGAGGGGGAGGGGGAAGGGGAGGGGGAAGGGGAGGGGGAGGGGGAGGGGGAGGGGGAGCGAGGGGAGGTTAAGGGAAGAGGGGTGGGTGATGTGGGAAGTGTGGATGGTCTGGGAGAGGACAAAGAGGGAGAAGGGAGGCTAGATGGAGTGGTAGCAGACGGGGAGGCAGCAGCAACGGCGGCAGCAGCAGCGGGGGAACCAGCAGGGTTTCGCTGGTCCAAAGCAGTGCTACTCCCTCCTTCCCTTCGATCGCGCCTTCCGCCTCCTCCCAACCCCGTTCCTCCTCTCCCTCCCCCTCTCTCCCACCCTCCCCAATCCCCTCCTCTCCCTCCACTCAACCCTGCTGGTCTAGGGCCCCTCTGGGGGTGAGGATGCACGAACAGCTGGCACCTCCCATGCCCACGTGGCGCCTCCTCATTGGTCGGCGGCGGGACCACGTTCTTGGCAGCCAATGCCGCGTCGCCAGCGAGGCAGTAGCCAAAGGTGAGGTCGATCCAGTGGTGCAGCTCAGAAGAAACAAAATCGCCCTCCAACGCCGCCCGGTGAAGGGCGAGGAAGCGGTGGACACGATCGGATTTGATTTGCAAGATCAGATCGTCGCCGTCCATCATGACTGCAGATTCTGAAGTCCCAGAAAGATCTCTTTCAAATTTGACTCCTTCTCCCTTTTCTCCTCTCTCCCCTCCTCTCTCTCCTCCTCTCTCTCCATCCACCTCTGCTCCTTCCAAACTGCCCGCAAAATCATCCATCCAATCAGGAGGCGCCAGGTCGGGCAGCCCCTCATGCTGCGACCGAAACAGGGCAGGGTCGAAAAAAAACTCGGGCAGCGTCTCATCAGGAGTCCACCTATACATTCTCCCCATCGTACTAGGATACTCTTTAGGCTCAAAGACCGTTCTCACCACCCTCCTTAATATCCACAGAGGTAGTTTTCTAGCCGAGTACATGCATACTGCCACGTCAGACACACACTCTTCTGCCACGTGGTGTGGGACTTCGGAGGAGTAGGTGAAATCGAGCTGCTCGTCGCCTTTTACCGCCCGCCACTTAGTTAAGCGCAGGTTCCGCCAGCCTCGGAGTGCAGCTGTGGAGGAGGAGGAAGAAGAGAAGGAGATAGCAGTACTGGTAGCGGCAGCAGCAGCAGCGGCAGCAGCAGCAGCAGCAGCGGCAGCAGCAGCAGCAGGAGGAGGAAGAGGAGGAAGGCTTTCGCTGGCTCTATCAGCAGACATAGGATCACTGACAGACAGGTCAGTGGATGGCAAACGAGCAGCAGTATCAACCTTGAGAGCCCCAGAGGGAGCCACAGAAGCCACAGCAACCACTGAGACGTCAGAAGCAGAGGCAGAACGATCGAAAGAACCACCCCCGGTGACACCAACCGGAGCCACGGTGAAATCAATCACCCACGGAATAACCGCGTGAAAGTCCCTGTCCCCACTCCTCCTCCCTGCTATTCTGTTGAGCTCCAGGAGATAATCCAGGTTGCTGATCTCCCATGCCATCCACCTGCCCAGGAGATCCCCGAAAGGAAGGTTCGCGGCAAGTGCACGCTGCGGGGGAGGAAGCTTCCTTGATCGCTCCTCCTGCTCGTCTTCTGTGTCTCCGCCTTCCGGCTTGCCTTCGTCTCCTGTGGCAGTCACCTCCGCGTCTTGCCCCGTCTGCTCTCCTTTCCATTCCTCTCCTCCTTTTCCTCCTCTCCCTTCTTCTCCTCTCTCCTGTCTTCCAACCCCTCTCTTCTTATTACCATCACCAACCCCTCCTGATCCCTCCCCTCTTCCCCCTTTCTCCCCATCCAACCCACCCCAGAAATCCCCACCGAGCATCAACCGCGGCCACAGATTCGCCGCGAGCGCAATATTGGGCGGCACTGCCGCCCCGCAGGAGATCCCCAGGGCATGTGCCGCCGCCACCCCCTGCAAGAATCCAAACGCGACCAGCCGGGCGGCAAACTCGTCTCGTAGCGCCTCGGGGCTGTGCCGAAGCACGCCAGCCAGAGTGAAGGGGACGGAGGGGTAGAGGAAGAAGAGGGTGGTCCCTGATTGGCTGGAAGACTGGGCGGCAGTGGATACGAGCGCCGCTACAGGACAAAAGATGTTGTCCAGAGTGAGTTGGGGGAGGGTGGAGGAGGATGAGGTGGGTTCTAAGAATGAGGATGGAAGGGAGGAGGAGGAGGGTGATAGGAAGGGTAGCAGATCAGACTTTTCCTCGTGCTGCTGGTCCTGCTGCTGCTGCAAATGTGGCTGCTGCTGCTGCTGCGAGTTCTGCTGCTCCTGCTGCGTCTCCTGCGGCTGCTCCTCCTCAGGCACCCAGATTCGAAGGGAGGGGGCTTTGGGAGCCAGGTCACTGGCACCTTCAGCTGCTGCTGCCCCTGCTGCTGCTCCTGCTGCTGCAGTGGCTGTGGCTGTTCGTGTGGAGGGAGTGGGAGCAAGAGGAGGCTTTGAAGACGAGCTCTTCTGTGGCTTCTCTCCCTTCTCTCCCTCACTCGCTTTCTCTCCCTCACTCACTTTCTCTCCCTCACCCGCTTTCTCTCCCTCACTCACTTTCTCTTCCTCAACCTCCTCTCCCTCACTCACTTTCGCTTCCTCACCCACCTTCTCTCCCTCACTGGCCGCTCTCTTACTCTCTCCCTCCGCCCTCCCATTCTTCTCCATCACACCACCTCCACCCACCTCTCCCCCCATCCTGACCTCCCCTCCCTCCTCTCCAGTCTCTTCAGTCTCAGGTGATTTTTCAGGTGCATTCCCAGGTAGTTGATCCGCGAGTTTGTCTCGTCTTGCTTCTGCGCCCCTCACTCCTTCCATCCCCTCTTCTCCTTCCCTCCCCTCCTCTCCCCTCTCCCCACTAGTGCCAAAGGAAAAGCTCCCCCCGTCAGAGTCACTGTGATTAAACTGAGGCCCTTTTTCCGCCTCTATAGGCTCCACAGCCTTCAATATAGTCACACTTTCAATAGGCGTGCTGCCATTCGATACAGTCACATCACTGGTACCCGCTACAAGCCCTTCCCGGACAGATAGAGATGCCACGACAGCAGATAGTGACCTGGCAGAGGCATGTGTCCACGTCAGATTGGGTGCCAGCCTGGCAGCTACAGCCACGGCCCACTCCACATCGCAGCAAGCTTCGGGCCTTCTGCTCTGGTTCGGCAACTGGTTCGGAGATTGGTCTGGCAACTTGCTAGGTACGGCAGTTCTGCCATTACTGCTCCCACTCACTCCGTTTCTTCCTCCTCCCCCGTTGCATCTCCCACCCTCGTTACAGGGGCTGCGGCATCGGCAGTACTGCAGACGTGGCGCCATCTTATTGGCCCTCACCGCAAAGCACCGATTCGCTGCTCCTGCAAGGCTCGTCCACTGCTGCTGTTGCTGCTGCTCCTGCTGCTCCTGCTGCTGCTGCTGCTGCTGCTGCTGTTTCTGGTTACCAGATGTCGCAGGTGGGAGGGCAGGTGGGAGGGCTGTATGGTCGAATTGAACAGAAGGGTCCGAGCCCAGAGAACAGACATACTCAGGGAGGGAGAGGAGAGGGAGGGAGTCAGTGTCTATGGGGGAGGAAGAGGAATCCCCACTTTGTTCCTCAACCGAACCTCTAACTCCCGCACTGTCCTTGGTGGTGCTGGCAATGGAAGAGGAAGGTTCGGAGGCATCAGGTTCGGAGGTGGCAGGTTCGGAGGCGATAGGTTTGGCGGTGGCAGGGTCCGGTTGGGTGGAGGTTTGTAGGGAGGGGAGGGAGGAGGAGAGAGGGAGAGATCCTAGCGTTCCTCCTGCAGCAGAGAAGCTGTGTGGATGCAAGGGTATGAATAAACAAGGCAGGGGAAAAACAGATGACACGGGTTGGGTGGAGCATGGTAGGGAGGGGAGGGAGGAGGAGAGAGGGAGAGATCCCAGCGTTCCGTCTGCAGCAGAGAAGCTGTGTGGATGTGTGATGTGGTGTGATGTTTCACACAAAGCAGGGAGGGAACAGAAGAAATCGTTGAGTTTGATGTTGCAATGTTGCAAAAAAAAACGTTTGGGGAAAAGCGTACATTCATAAGTACGTTGAATTTGGGCGGGACAATGTAATGAAGGGGAAAGGATCGGGAAAAGCAAGCTTCACTCCGGAGATTTATGGCTTGCACTGTGACGTAACCCATCATTGCACCGCTTTGCACCATGCCATGCCCCTTCCCCCAACCACCGCACTGCGCTACGGCATAACACTTTCCCCACCGCACTGCACCGTAACGTACCCCTGGGAGCGGCAGAACCGGCAGCTGGCCCCGTTCTGGCATGTGATTGGCTGCAGCAGGAATTGCTGACTGCGACCAGGTCTGGTTAAGTTGAACACATTGCAAAGGCAAGGGAAAGGTATCAACTGGAATGTGTAATTGTTCAAAACTGAGGCTTCATCGGTGCGAGCTTAGCGTTACAGTTTAGACGCCAAAGAAGAAGAATCTGCTCACCTTACAATGAGAACATAGACTTTAGTGGACGCCACACGACACTCTTTGAGAACTCCCAGAAGTGATCTAAAAGGAATCTGCTCACCTTTCAATGAGAACACAGACTTTGGAGGACGCCACACGATACTCTTTTGAGAAATCCCAAAGGTTCTTGGCCTCCTCTTGAAGGAATCTGCTCACCTTTCAGTGGGGACATAGTCCTTATAAGAAGCCACAATACTCTTTTGAGAACTCCCAACAGTTCTCTTGAAAAGAGTATCCTGTGGCCTCCTCTTGAAGGAATCTGCTCACCTTTCAGTGGGGACATAGTCCTTATAAGAAGCCACAGGCACTCCGCCCTCATCCACCTCTACCTATTAGAGGGAGAGGGATGGGGGACAGGGGCGAGCGGGAGAGGAGGGGGGAGAGGGGAGGGGGCGAGGGATGGGGGAATGGGGAGGGATAGAGGGATGGGAGATAGGAGAGGGGGAGAGAGATGTGGGAAGAGGGGGGGGATTGGGGGAAGGGGAGTGGGGGGGAGAGCGGAGGGGGTAAAGGGGAGGACATTAGGGGAGAGGGTTAGAGGGAGGGAGGGAGTGGAAGGATGAAACGAACAGTTGACACAGTGGGAGAACATAATGCTCTCAACCATCCCTTACCGCCAATTAATGATCTCAACTGCACCTCACACCGGAACCAGCATAATGTATGCATGCGATTCCCCTCTCTTGTTTCGTGCACAAAGTGGAACCTGTGTGGTTCAATCAGAGGTGACTTTTCAGTCGACGCTAACGGACATCTCTTGTCTACTCGGTAACCACCTCTCACCTCGCATACCATCAGCCCGCTGTATGGTAAGGTTGGCCGGCTAGGATCCGTCTCATCACATTTCCTTATTGATCACCGGCTAGAATCTGTCTCATTTTGCAAACTATTATCAGTCCGCCGTGCGGCAACGGCGTGGGGTTAAGAACCTAACAACATTCTTTGCTAAGAATGTTGCCGCTGTGCGGCAACGGCGTGGGATTAATGGACTTTAATCTGTCTCACCTCGCACACTCTTAGTCCGCTGTGCGGCAACGGCGTGGAGTTAAGAACCTAACAACATTCCTTGCTAATACGGGCTATAATCGGTCTCACCTCGCACACTATTAGTCCGCTGTGCGGTAAGGGCGGGCGGCGCCACGAGTGCGGCTCCACGGCGAGCAAATGGGAGACGAACACGTCAGCAGAGAGCTGCTGGCGAATCAGCTCCGACGCCTCGACCAGCGAGAGCGACTGCGATTGGCCCATGCTGACGTGGCACTGCAGATTTTTCAATTTCCCGCCTCAGGTGCTTTCGCACTAGCACCGAAGATCAAGCACCATAATGGAGAGTGGCTGTCAAAATTCTTTACGAATCTCTTGCAAGCGCTTCAAATCGCTGAATCTCCTGGCGGATTAATGCAGAAAATGCGGCTCAATCAAACAAATTCGCGTCTTTTCCGTCGCCTAATCCAGATATTATGTGTGTAGCGTAGAATGTCGAACTAAGCATGTGCCGACGGAAACAAGCGAATTAGAACGGACTGCTATGTATTCCAGACAATGCGGAGGTCAAGCAATGCGGACCATCCAAATAACACAGCAGTGAGCGGGAGCGATGCCTCGTGTCTGACTCTCTAGGAATTCAAGGATGACCTAGAAACCTCCTCTCACCACAAGATCCCAAATTCCCAATCCATGATGCAAAGCAAACTCATGGCTCCTTGTGAAGGAAGTGCGAGGGAAGCATTGATGGGTGTGGTGGAGACGAGTGGCAGTCTGTCACAGCGCCTACTGTACCTGCCCCCAACTGGTGCACTCGAGGCCAACAGAAACAAGGCCCAGATTCTACCTTGCGGCTGCGAAAGCTTTCGCACGGCTTTTGCGAGAGGGCCGGCGGGTCTCGGGAATCAAGGCGCAGAACAGCGAATTCGGGTGGTGGAGTAGGCTGGTGTGGTCTGGAATACGGTTCGATACAGTGAAGTGGGTTGAGGTGAGAGTGGTTGTGGAAAGAATTTGAGGCGATGTCTCGATAGAGGCCCATTCACTACAGAATAAGGAACATTGGTTGTATGAAAATATATATACATGATGTATTATTATTATTCAACAGTTTAACATCTGATGCTAATGGATGAGATAGTTGCGCCCGCATTAAAGATTTCCATATTGTTGCCCGTCATGCTCTTTGTAGCGTTGATATATGAGACGGTATTACTTGTTTTTGCGTCCGACCTGTACGCTGTTGCGGAGCACCTCACATAGGCTTAAAACTTCAAATGTCCGCTAGCAAAAAGACAAGCAGATACGGACAAGCTGACGCGACGCGAAATGCCTAGCACGCGAGTACCACTCCAGTGAGAGGAGCGGAGAACATCGAGTCGCGGTTGAGCATTTCACACATCCCCCCCTCCACACCACACCTTCCACCGGCACGCAGGAATTTCCTCCCGAGCCTCTCGCGCGGCCCGGACGGTGGTTCGGGCTGGGGGGAAGAGGTTGTGCAAGCTCAGTACAAATGCAGCTCCTCTCCTCATTTCCATCCATCCATCATTCGAACAAACGCAACCAGCTTTCAGCTACTACATTTTGACTTCTCTTCAGTCTACCCATTCAGCATCAGACGCATATTAGTTACTCAACTCTAGATCATTTGACATCTAGAAACAGCGACTCGAGCGTCTCGAACCACCATTTTAGCACCCCTGCTTCCGCATTAATACCTGCTTATAGAAACTATGGCATGCAATTCGAAGATCAAGATTACAGCATCCAGCGAGCTCTCTAGCAGATACACGCTCAATGAGTTTCTAGGTGAGGGTCAGTACGGCACAGTGTGGCGCTGCGAGGAGCGCGCGACGGGCGAGCATTTCGCGCTCAAGTACATCGACCTCACCAAGTGCAGCAGCAGGGCCCGCCTCGCAGCTCTCAGCGAGGTCGAGATCCTCCAAAAGATCCGCGATTCTGGCTTCTCCGATAGTGTCGTATCGCTCAAGGAAGTGTACGGGGACAACGATTCTCTTTATCTTGTAATGGAGCTGTGCACTGGCGGGGATCTTCTCGAGCTCATCCAGAATCAGCCCGGCGCGTATATCAGCGAGGCGGAATCGCGCCACGTGTTCGCGTCCGTGGCGCGCGCCGTGAAGCAGTGCCACGCCAGCAGCATCGTCCACCGCGACATCAAACCCGAAAACATTCTCATCTGCCCGACTTCGAACAGCGTCCCGGCCGCCGCCGCCGCCGCTAACGGCGCGTCGTTCGCGTACACCGCGAAGCTCGCGGATTTCGGGCTCGCTGTGGACGTGCCGTGGTTGCAGCAGATTCGCGGGTATGCCGGCAGCAAGCCGTATGAGGCGCCGGAGGTTATGGTGGGGGTTGCGTACGACGAGTCCGCGGATATCTGGAGCCTCGGAGTGACTCTCTACGCGATGCTTTCGGGAAAGTGGCCGCTATTCAGGGGCGGGAAGCGGGTCCTCGACGAGAAGGTGGATTTCGCATCGGACGACTGGAAGAACGTGTCGGGTGACGCGAAGGATCTCATCCGTCAGATGCTGTGTGTAGATGTGAACGAACGGTTCACGATTGATGAGGTTCTGGCGCATCCGTGGGTTCGCCCTGCAGTCAAGGCAGTAGCTCAGGAAGGGATGGAGACCGTCGATCTGGCCGAGGGACGAACGGCTGCTGTTGTCTCGCAAACCGACGCTTACATCACCTCGGGAATTGTGGAAGCCGATTCCGACACGGCGGGAAGCATGTCTTCCGCGAGCGCAACCAATAGCACTGACAGTGACTGTGGGAGCAACGGGGAGAAGCCTCGCTGGGGCGGAAAGCTATCTCCGCGCACCGTTCTGAACCGCGTCAAGGCGGCCTTCTCCCCACTCACACGCCAGAGGGAGGCGTCGTGCATCCCCATCGAAGTTCTCTGAACAACTTCGTTTATAGGTGATCCTGTACGAGTGTTCTCAGCTTTAGGTGTAGGTTAATGTTAGCTTAGTCATAGGACAACAGGAAGAGTTGCTGTGGTGCCCGGTGATCATAGGGTACGATCCCGAGCACCCTAGCAACTCATTCCTTGCATTGAAATGTTTGTATTATTGATTTCCTTATTACAAACAATGCATCCAGCAAGCAAGTCTGGATTGGAATTGCAAAAATTTCCCAGGCAAACAGGGTTTAAAACCCGCGGGCCAAGAAGTTCAACCTTAGGAAGGTTGGTTGGGAGTGAAAACGCTATTGGCCCGAGGTCTTAGAACTCGGAATATCTCAGCGGAAATGGGTCGTCAAGCCTGACGACCCTCTGACGACTTGACGACATGCTGCCCCGGGCAGGAAAAAACTAAAACCCTATCGGATGGCATGCCATCCTAGGGAGGCATCAACCCTAAATCCATGCCTCCCTGTGTTTAGGGTTGATGCCTCCCTGACCGGATGCATGCCCTTCTGGGGTTTATTGTTTTTGCCCGCGGGCAGCGAGCTCCCCCGGGCGGACTCGCTTGTCCGGGAATAATCACAGGCGTTTTTGGGACACCCAACCAGCATTAGGAAGGATGAACCAATTTCGGCCTTCTTGACCCAAGGCTGTTCAGGTCAGATGGAAGCAAGCACGGTTCAATGCATCCAAAAGCGTTGCAGTTTGGCTGCTTACGGTCCAGAGTGGTGCTCCCAACGCATTATCGACGGTGCAGCATTTTCCCATTTCCAGGGTTTGGCAATGTGCTCTTCCCCATCGCGTTGTTACCTCGTTTTATCGCGTGTCACCGTACAGAAACACTCTCCACCTTAGGACGGACGTGACAGAAGAACCGTTGTGCCACGACTCTGCAATCCCATTGGCGTGCCACCATTGACTCTGCAATCTCAGATTTTACTTGTGCTGCGAATGTTCCACTCACCGAAACACACCTGACCTCCGTATAAATCTATTGCACCGCTGTTTACCGTAACCACATCATCTGAACCGCATTCCATCGAACACTCTAGCCAAAAACCGAAGATACCTTTGCCGCTTCTGGCAGTCTCGGTTGTTGGATTCGGTGCATGGGGACTTCAACGGGCAGCAAACGAGTGCAATACCCCCTAGTTTTTCTTGGCTATGCCTTCCCTAATCCTGCACTATCAAATTCCGTATGCGCCTCGAGATAATGGCTGTCCACGTCGGTATACGTAGCTTAGTACGTATGTGTATCATATAGGGACCGTGGCGTCAGCACAAAAATTCGCGTATTAGGAGCGACAAGCTCGACAAAGAGCTTTATATCGGAGCTGCTTCAATGAGAGCCATCACGAAACGCGGCAGGAGGCTCGGCCCTGAGCCGGACTCGGCGCGCAGTCAGCTATCTCCCGTGCTTGCGTTCCCCTTCCCCTCCCTCTCCTTCTCAATACCTACGTACGGGGATGCTTCTCCGCTAGCCAAGCAGCGTTGTAAGCGAGGCTCCGCGCGCAGTCAGCCGCGCAGCGGCTGGGGGAACGCAGCCTCGCACAGTAACGCGCGCAGTAACGCGCGCAGTTACGCACGTAGTCGGGCGGTCAATCAGGCGCTATGGTTCCTCGTCGCGTTCCTAGCAGTCGTGTGTCAGCGCGTCGCCCCAGTTGCTGGCGTCATTATCATGATCGCTCCAGACAACGCCACGTACTCGTTTGAAGACGCCGACGCCGCGTTCGGTACGCCCTTCGCTTCCCCCCTTTCCCCCTCCCCTCTCCTTCCCCCCCCCCCCCCCCCTCCCCCTCCCCCCTCCCCCCTCCCCCCTCCTCCCTCCACCCCCCTTCCCCCCGTTATAAGAACGCATGCGAGTTTGGATATTCCCTCTTTTCGCCACTTATAAGCACACATACGCGTTGGGAAGTTGCTCTGAGTTGACATTTGAGCCGACTCAGAAGTTGCTGGCGTCATCATCATGGTCCCGGACAACGCCACGTACTCGTTTGAAGACGCCGACGCCGCATTCGGTACGCCCTTCGCGTTTCGCCTCTTATAAGCGCACATACGAGTTGGGAAATTTCCGATTTAGACGCCTTACCATCATAAGGTCCCTTGCTCTCTTAGCGACCTGTCTCTTCGTCTGTATGATCGCCTTTCCCCCACCGTCCCCGCCCCCCGTTCCGCTTTCCAAGGTGACTTTCCGCTTTCCAAGGCGACTCAAAAGTCGTCTGTATGATCGCCTTTCCCCCACCGTCCCCGCCCCCCGTTCCGCTTTCCGCCTTAAGCGTTATGTTTTCCGCCGCGAGCGTTCCGCGCGGTTTGTGCGCGGGGTGCTCCGCCACGCCGTTCTCTGTAGCGGCTCTGAGGAGCTTTTGAGTCGCTCCTCCTCAGCAGTGTTGGGGAACTTATATATTTTATTAAAAATACACTCAAATCAACCACGCCTGATTTTGTTTGCGCCCCCAATCCCCCTCCCGAATCCCTGTCCCCTTCCTCTTCTCGTTCTGCTCTCCGTTCCCCTTCCCCTTTGCGCCGGTCTCAAGCCCTTCATTTCTCGTGAGGAGTTTTTCTCCTGACTCACTATCCGCCTCCCATTCCCCTTCCCCTTCCGCCTCCCCCTTCCTCTTCCCCTTCCCCTGCCGCCCCCCCTTCCCTTTCCCCTTCCGCCTCCCCCTTCCTCTTCCCCTTCCCCTGCCCCCGCCCCCTTCCTTTCCCTTTCCGCCTCCCCCTTCCCCGTCCCCTTCCCCTGCCGCCTCCCCTTTCCCTCCCCCTTCCGCCTGCCGCCCCCCTTTCCCCTTGCGCCCCCCCTTCCCCTTGCGCCCCCCCTTCCCCTTGCGCCCCCCCTTCCCCTTGTGCCCCCCCTTCCCCTTGCGCCCCGCTTTCCCCTCCCGCCCCGCCTTCCCCTTCCGCCCCGCCTTCCCCCGTCCCCAGGCGGCCTCATCCCCTCGACGGGCATGCGCGGAGTGCTCCGCCGCGCCGTCCCCTATGACGCATGCGAGCCGCTCACGAATTCCGCGGGGGCGGGATCCGCGGAAGGGGAATCCGCGGGGGAATCGGCGGAGGGATTCGCGGAGGCGGAGTTTGTGCTTATAGAGAGGGGCAACTGCCTGTTCGACGTGAAGGCACTTAACGCGCAGCGCGCGGGGTACGCCGCCGCGGTGGTGTACGATAACGAGCCCGGGAAGAGGCTTATAACGAGTACGTGGAGTCGCGTGGGGTGGAGTGGGGTGGGGTGGGGTGGGGTGGGGTTGGGTGGGGTGGGGTTGAAAAGGGTAGGGCGGAGGGGGAATGGCGGAGGGGGAAATGGGAGGGGGATTGGAAGGGGGGGATGGAGGAGGGCAGGGAGGGAGGAGGGCAGCGGCACATGTGAGGTATCGCCATTCCAGCAATTCTCCTCACTCAATCCTCCCCAGCAACTAGCGCCATTCACTCTTCGTCTCTCACTCCCACCTCCTCTCCCACGTGATAAATGTAGTGTTTTGAGACGTCTCAACGCAATCCTCGTCACTCAATCCTCCTCAGCAACTAGTTTTGAGTCGACTCAAAAGGAGGGCAGTGGCACATGTGGGGTATTGCCATTCCAGCAATTCTCCTCACTCAATCTTCCCCAGCAACTAGCGCCATTCACTCTTCATCTCTCTCCCCACCCCTCTCCCAGTGTCAGGGCGGCACATGTGGGGCATCGCCATCCCAGCAGTTCTGCTTTAAGAGGTCCCAGACGTCACTCCCCACCTCCCTCCCTCACTCCCCACCTCCCTCCCTCACGACCCCCATCTTGACCCATAGTAACATCTCCCAAGACCTTCCAACCCAATCCCACCCCCCTCTCTCCCCGCCTCCCTCCCAGTGTCAGGGCGCCACATGTGGGGAATCGCCATTCCAGCAGTCTTCGTCACTCAATCCTCCGGCCACGCACTTATCAACATCATCAACCGCTTCCCCCTACCCTCCTTCCACCACCCCCCCTCTCTCCGCCCATCCTCTTCCCCTCTCTCCCCCTCCCCCTCCCAGTGTCAGGGCGGCACATGTGGGGAATCGCCATTCCAGCAGTCTTCGTCACTCAATCCTCTGGCCACGCACTTATCAACATCATCAACCGCTTCTCCCTACCTTCCGACTCCTCCCCCTCCTCCTCCGCCTCCTCCTCCCCCTTCTCCCCCTTCCCCTCCCCCTTCTCCCCCTTCTCTCTCCCCTTCTCCTCCCCCGAATCCTCCCCTCCTATCTGCGTTCTCCTCCCCACCTTCGACAATGCGGCCTGGTCTGTTATTACCGCCTCTTTAGTATCCCTTCTCTCACTCTCTATAGTCCTCGCCTCGTTTCTCTTTATAAGACGGCATAGACTGCGGCAGGCTGTAGCAGCTGCCGCTACAGCCATGGGCGCGGGCGGCGCCGGTCGGCTGCTAGCGGCGCGTCAGGAGCCGCCCGGGCTGTCAGAGGAGGAGGTGAAGGCGCTTCCAGAATTGGTTTTCCCGCTAAAAGGGAAGCATGCGAGTAGTGTGTCAGTGTTTGGTGGTGGCTGTAGCAGGGTCGGCTGTAGCAGCTGTGGGGGAAAAGGGTTGACGGGGACAGGGGGAGGTGGAAAGGAGGCAGGCGGGATAGGGAAGTCTACGGCTGCAGCAGCATCTGTAGCAGCAGCTGTAGCATCACCAGAGGAAGGAGAAGTAGGGAGGGAAAGAACAGCAGAACGAGCTACAGCTGTAGCATCTGTAGCAGCTGTAGCAGCAGCTGTAGCACCGGAGCAAGGGGAGGAAAGCAGGCCACTGCTACCCAGTGGGTGTGTGGCTGTGTCAGTTGCAGATGGAAGCGAGGATGGTGATAGTAGCAGCTGTGATAGTATCAGTGGTGATACTAGTGGTGGTGGTTTTATCAGCAATGGTACGACTACCGCTGCTGGTGCTGGTGGTGCTGGTGGTGCTGGTGGTGCTGGTGGTGCTGGTGCTGCAAGGGGAGCAGAGGGAGGAGGGGGGGACGAGGGAGGAGAGGGAGAAGAGGGGACAGAGGGAGCAGTGGAAACGGGGGGAGGAGAGGGCGGGGAGGGAGGAGAGGGAGGAGAGGGAGGGGGAAGAGAGATGGAGACGTGTGCAATTTGCCTGGAGGATTATGAGTGGGGGGATAGGCTGCGGATTCTGCCCTGCTCTCATGGTGAGTCAGTGAGGGGGGTAGGTAGGTTGCAGGGAGGGTAGCAGGCAGGGGGCAGGGGGGAGATGGAAACGTGTGCGATTTGCCTGGAGGACTATGAGTGGGGGGATAGGCTGCGCCTGCTGCCCTGTTCGCATGGTGAGTGACTGGGATGCGTGGTCTTTTCTCTTTTCTCGCATGGTAAGTTGGCCTCGTTCCCACTTCTAGCACAGAGTTCCATGTTGACTGCATTGACTGCGTTGACCACTGGTTGACCACTCACAGTTCCCCATCTGCCTCCTCGTTTTGAATGCACAAGTATGTGTGTCTGTCCCTCCTGTCCCCGTTTTTTGCTCTACCTACTTCCACCTGCAGAGTTCCATGTTGACTGCGTTGACTGCGTTGACCACTGGTTGACCACTCACAGTTCCCCATCTGGCTCTTCGTTTTCTAATGCACAAGTATCTGTGTCTGTGCCTCCTGTTCCTGTTTTTTGCTACCTACTTCCACCTTCAGAGTTCCACGTTGACTGCGTTGACCAGTGGTTGTCCACTCGTCGCCTGTTCTGCCCGGTCTGCAAGCGAGACGCACACCCCCCCACCCACCTCTCCCCTTCCTCCCCTCCTCTCGCCTCCACCTCCTCCTCCTCCACCACCGCTTCCGCTGCTTTAGCTTCCTCTTCCTCTGTCGCTGCTTCGACTGCTCTCTTCGTCTCCTCTCTGCTCTACCCTCTCATCCGCTCCTTCTCTCCCCTCCCATCCCTGCCCACCGCATCCAACTCCACTAATACCGCACCCAACCCCTCAAATTCCGCATCTGGAAGCAGCAGGAGAACCAGACCTTCCCGATCCTCCTCCTCCTCTTCTTCCACCTCCTCATCCTCCTCCTCCCTCTCCTCTCCATCTCCCCACTCTCCCACAAACCCCATCACCGCACTCCACCCTCCCGGACTCTCTCTCTCCTCCTTCCCCCCCTCAGCCACCCCACCCACCTCCATCCCCACTCTCCCCTCCTCCCACTTCCCCACTCCCCGGTTCATCGCAGCTTCAACCGCCTCCTCCTCCTCCCTTTCCCCTCCTGACCCGTCCCGCGAACCCTTTTTGCTGCATCACCCTTCGAGGGACTCAGATGATGAAGAGACGGGGGAGATTAGACCGGTTCCCATGCCAGGGTTTACCCCGCCGTCGCCTCTACCCTCTCATTTGCAGGTCACAGATTGAGTGGTACCCTTTTTTTTGTGTTCTCCACTTTTGGGGCGTTGTTTACTGGAATCAAATGCTAAAATGCTGCCATCCCTTTCTAAAAACCTTGGGGCAAGGAAAGGACACAAACCTATGTTGCATTCATGTGGGCATGGTAGCCATATGGTGTTATCAGTTCTGGTGAATCACCCTGGCAAAGTTCGTTACAGCCTGTGATTTCAGGGCGATTCCGGGCTGGGGCTCATAAAAATAATACCGTATGTAGAATAATATGTTGCATACAACTGTACAGAGCTCTACAACTGAACTGATGTACCATCTAAAGGTTATTATCAAACATATTGTACCGACTAGTGGGATGTAGCACACTACTACTGTGCTGCTTTACTGGGAGGGAGGCCTATCAAGCATTTTGCTGACCGCTTAATTCACAGGAGCTGCTGCAATCAGTGAAGGGGAAAGGGACTCAGGTTGAAACAGGTAGGAGAGTTAACAGGAGGAGGTGGAAGCTGATGGGACAGTGGCGGTTGGGATTGGGGGATGAGAAAGTAAGAGAGGGGCGTGAGGAGGACGGAGGGAGAAGGATGAAGAGGGAAGAGGAAGGAGGGTGGAGGGAAGAGGAGGAGGATGAGAGGAGGAAGGTGGAGGGGAGGGGGCAAGAGGGGGAAGATGGATGGAGGGAGGAGGAAGGACAAAGGAGGGAGTTGCACATTAGCCCAAACCAGAGAGGCCGAGGGAAGATGGGCAATTGGGCAACTCTCCCTGTATGCCGATTGTGGTGCCGGTTGAGACGTCCGAGTGTTGTACCGAAACAAAGGAATCGTTTTCCGAAGTTGCATGGTAAACGTGTCGCAAAGAATCATTGAGAGTGGGCTGTTGTCGCGAGCTCCGCCGCCCGTTTACGCTGCGATTGGGCGGCTCTGCCTGGCTCCTGCCGCCCCATCAACCGACCGCGAGAGGCAGACAGCTGTCGGCGCCACACGGGACGATCCCCGCCGCCCGGCGCGCATCTTGAAAGCCAGGCACGTGGGGACCACGTTCTTCAGTGCGGCTGCCGCCTGCTTGGGGCTGCTGAAGTAGTTTCCACGAGGAGAGTTTCTTTTCGGGCTGACCGGGGCTTCTGGAGCTTCGGGAACAGAAATCTCCAGCTTCTTGGATGCAGGTTTGGAGAAATTAGGCTCGGGAAAGTCAGGTTGGGGGAACTTGATGTCAGGAATTGCAACAAGCGCGGAAATCGCGGCGGGGAACGCGGCGGAGATTTCATCAGCATGGGTGAAGCGGCGGGAGGGAGGAGGCGGAGGGGGAGCCAGCCACGTGTCAGCGAGTACTTGGTCGATTGTGGGCCGCATGAGGGGGTCCACAGCGAGCATCCAACGGATGAGATTCTTCGCGTCGTCCGAGATCGACGACCAGCAGGGCGCCTCCCAATCCGCGATATCGTCGAGCTCTCTAACGTTATTACGGAACAGAGGCCATGTTCCCGAAAGCATCGCGTACAATAACACGCCGAGGCTCCAGATATCAGCGGATTCATCGTACGGCTCTAAAGCCATCACTTCAGGCGCCTCGTACGGGTAGCTTCCAGCGTAGCCAATCACCTGCTGCCAGCGAGGCACCTCCACCGACAGCCCGAAATCTGTGAGTTTCGCGACGTGTTGCGGGTTACCCGCAACAGAGGACGACTGCGAAATGTTGTGCGAAAAAGAATCCGGGGCTGCGACTCCAGGAGCAGTTTTTTTCGGGCAGAGGAGGACGTTTTCGGGCTTGATGTCGCGGTGAACAATGCTGTTATCGTGACACTCTTTAACGGCGCGAGCCACCGACGCGAAAATATCTCGGGACTCCGCTTCGCTAAGCATCCCTTCATTCTGTATCCTCGCTAAAAGGTCCCCTCCGGTCCCGAGCTCCATGAGCATGTATAACGAGTCTCTGTCCGCGTACACCGCTTCCAATCCAATTATATGTCCGCAGCCCTTTCCGCGAAGCTTCGCCATGATTTCGATCTCCCGCCGCGCCGCGGCGTGCGCGTTCTCCCCGCACACGGCGCGCGAAACGCGCTTGCATGCGAACTCGCGCGCGGAGCGGCGGTCGACGAGGCGCCAGACGACGCCGTACTGCCCCTTGCCGAGCACGTCGACGGCGGTGAAGTTCGCGCGAAGCGCGGCGGTGGGGAGGAGTTCGATGCGGTGCTGATGGTGATGGTGCGAGGATGCTGAAGTTGACCGATGCTCCATGATTGTATACGCCTGGTAAGATTTTATTTGTGGCAGCAAGAACTCTCCTATGAAGGACTCGCGGCTGAGTAGAAAGAAAACGATTAATCCGTAATTATTTTCGCTGAGCTTGGACAGAGCAGAGTGGCTAGAGCGAAGTCAGAAGTCTTGGAAGACGAGTTCGGACAACTGGAGCCACGGCGATTCACGAGTCTGATGAACCTTGAATTGGATGCTAACACTAAATAGTGCTGCTGGGTCAGGATGTGAGCGACTTGAATGTTCAAAACCAGTGGGTACGCGATGGGTGACGTACGACGACTGGTGGAATAACTGTGACGCGATATGCGGAGGCGGAGGGGGCGCGGATTTCTGGCAATGTAGAATGGAATTCTTTCTGGTTTGGGGCGTGCATTGCACCGTATCGGACCGCAGCGCAGCGCAGCTAGCATTGCGCGGGTGGTGGTGGTGAAGGTGGGTTTGCTTTGCCAGCTGCACCGCGCTGCACGCGGGCGGGCGGGCAACCGCACTGGCTTGTCGAATTTCTTGGAATGGGGGCGCGGCGTGGAGTTACCGTACCCACTCGTTCTGTTCCGTCAGCACAGCTGCCCAGCCCTATCCCAACCTCTTGGCGCGGCTTGGCCGAATCGTTCGTTTCGGTAGGCCCCCTTCGTTTGCTCGTTCAGATCGTTCATTCCGCTACAGTATTCGTCTCTGGCGGGTCCTGAAACAGTTTGCCGTGCCCTGAACCCTGCCCGTGTACCCGCAAACAGTTTGCCGCTGAAATACCTGCCCTGGACCATTCCCCCCATCCCCCCCACCTCGATTCCTCGACTCCTCCTGGAGAACGAAACGCCCACTTCGACATTTCAAACGGGCTGCCTCTGGCCAATGGTATTGTTTCCACTGGGCAGGTGGGGTGCAACGGGTTGGGCTGATGGGAAAAGCTTTCGGATGCATTCAAGTCAGCCACTCGCTGCTCCCAGGGACATTCGGTTGTGTTGTTCAGACTTTGGGGCTGCGGGGAGGAAGTGGCTGTTGCCTTCCCATGATAACGAAATGGTGAGTGTCGGTGCGCAGATTCTTTTTTGTTGCATGATGCTCACGCTCCAGTCAGCACAGCACTGCAAAAACTGAAGAACGAGGTTGAACAGCACAGTCAATTACGTTTTGACTGGTACAACTCAGCGACAAAAAGGGCGTGTGGACGCGTGGCACGGCAGCTGTGAAACAAACTGCTTGTCACATGGGACTAGACGGGCCGTCGGGAAAACCAGACGGTTGTCGTCATCCGTCAGCCAGAGCTCGTTGGACTTGGGGACCGCCGACGCGACATGACAACTGTTGAGCACACAATCCAGACCGTAGGAGCAGCGGATGACGGGAAACCGCGAGCAGCATTTCAACTCCACACCGCCAAACCGAAAGTCGCCGTCAAGTGCGGAGCATTCCAATTTCACCCAGCTCTGTTCGGTTCAGTCTGGTCGGGTCAGGTCAGAGGTTGGATATTGCCCAGTCACAACACAACTGCAATGGTCGTTCCAACTGGTATCATCTTGTAGCGCATTCCATAACAGATTGTACCGGGAACGGCACGGCAGTTCTTCTCTCTCGTTGGAACATATAGGGCGCTAGGTCACCCCACAAGTATTGTAGTACACTGTATGTAACACAAGATGAAGCAAAGCAACATACATCTGCTAACTACAACTAATTATTTAACACGAAGATGTACCAGGATCAGATGCCATGGTAGCTGCCTGCACACCAGTTATGGCAATCGTGGTAACCAAGTCCCTCACTGTATCGCTATTTGTCACGTCACTGACAGGCCGCCTCAATCCCTGCAGTACAGTCCCCATCGCTACACCTCCCGACGTCCGTTGCTGCTTGTACATATCTGTGCTGCTGTGCATATCGGGGAAAATCAGCACTGTAGCTTTCCCCGCCACGTCCGAGTTATCAAATAAAATAGACCCGCTCCTTCTTTTGTCACCCACTGCAGTGGCATACGGAAGGGGCCCCTCTACTGCTAGGTCGGGCCTTTGCTCCTTCACAATATGTGCTGCCTCCTCTATTCGCTCCGCAAGATGACCTGGCAGGCACAGAGAGGAGATGGAGAAGTGGGGGCGGGGGGTAGGGGAGGGTACAGCAGGGATTGATTAAAGGTCTAATGTGTGTGAAGACATTACTTCAGTCCAACGGACCAGAAAATATCCAATATTTTGTCCTCCCCACTCCCCCCCCCCCCCCCCCCTCCCCCCCCTCCCGTTTCCCCCATTTCCCCCTTCAAAACCCCCTCCCCGCCCAGCCCCCTCCCATGCTCTTGCTTTGAGACCATCCCTGCAACCAATATCCAATATCCCCTCACCTCTAGAAGCACCCTGGTGGTTGGATTGCGAGGACAGCAGAGCGACACGTGGCTCCAAGCCAAAGGCTGCCGCCGTGTCAGCCGATGACATGGCGATCATCGCAAGCTCCTCAGCCGTTGGATCGGCAGTGGCAATCCCATTGGTCGGCGCCGAAGCGCCCAGGCTCGGTGCCACAGCGGTGGAGTTTGAGCCAATCAGAGGAAGGGTGTTTTCCGCGCTGTCTCCATATACCAGCACTTTATCCGGGAGACACATGAAAACTACCCCCGAAACCACGGGCATTTCCGGCCGCGTCTTGATCACCCCCCGTACAATCCTCCCGTTCCCGTTCGGCCGAATCCCGCCGACCGCCATCCCGTCCGCCTCTCCCGCAGCAACCATCGCCGAACCAAACGACGCAGGGTCGGAAAGCAGCAGCCGCCGAGCCTCCTCGACGCTCATCGTCACCCCCCGTTCCAACTGCGCCTGGCAAATCAACTCCACGTACCGATCCAGGTCCGGGCTTGCTCCGGGATCGACAATATTAGCTCCGGATAAATCCACGCACTGATTCTTCGCTTGCAAAAGCACCTCCTCGGGATTTCCGAGAAGAGTCAACTTGCAAAGCGATCTCCTCAGAACCTCCCCGGCCGCTTGCACCACCTTCGGCTCGGTCCCCTTAGCCAGGACCACGTGTGATTGAGCCTCCCGGGCCCGGGAGAAAATACCGCACTCGAACACGCGCGGGGTGACGTGTGCGGGATGGGCGGAGGAAGCTTCCTGGAAGAGGATGCGGTGGATAGCGAGCGTGTCGGCGTGTTCTTGAAAGAGGTCCCGGGCGCGGCGGATTTTGGCGGGGGAGGAGGCGTGGAGGGAGGAGTGAGCGTGGGCGATTGAGAGACAGATGACGTGTGGGTCGAGCGGGGAGAGGAGGACAGGGAGCGAGGCAGACAGATGGGTTGACTGCAGGTGAGGGATAGGGGAAAGGGGAAGGGGGAGGGGGGAGGAAGAAGGGGGGGAGGGGGATAGTACGGGAGGGAAAAGGGCGGGAGAGGAAGGGGGTTGAGGTAAGATGAAGAAGGACGGTTGGAGGAAGTGTAGGAGACTTCCCAAGCGAGGATCAATGAACGAAATAAGAGGTAGAAAATAAATGAAGGATATGAGATTGATATGAAATAATGTAAGGTGGAAAAACAGCTTACCCTAATCATGTGGTCGATGGTGAGAGTCGGTGGCGTACCACCGGATAGGACAACCGCCGCCACCCGCTTGTCGGCTTTCGCCTGACTGAGCTGCATTGCCCCCAGAAGCACATCCGTGTCACTCGCATGCGTTACAATGCACACTCCGCCCTCGTTACTGCCACTGTACACCCCATTCTCGTTATAGTCACACACGCTCGGAATCTCATCCACCAGCTCATGAAACGGCGCCGTCGCCACCACCGTTTTTGTCACATCCATCTGTGCGACCCGAGGCCCCCTTCCCAGCTGGCGGCTGACGTGGCAACTGCTAGACTCTGACGTGTCATGGCTGCCGCTGACGTGGCGGGATGTAGCGGCTACAGCTGGCGTCATGGAGGGAAAGGTGAAATACTGGCTGCTACTGCCGCTGATGACGCTGCTGCTGCTGCTGCTAATGTTGCTGCTGATGCTCCTCCTGCCCGCCTTTCCAGCAGCAGAGAAGGCAGATTGCGGCCCATATAACACCTCCCCCAGAACAGCCCTCCTCAGTTCCTCTACCGAGAGTGACTGTAACGAGGAATCCTCTGGTATAATCCCGAGCACCGGGATGGGCTGATGCTGATGTTCCTCTGACGGGTGGATGTAGGCCTGGGATCGCGAGTGGGCTTCGATATAGTCACGCAGGCGCGGCCCCGAGCGCGAGGCGGGGCGGGAGGCGGAGCGGGAGGGGAAGCGGAGGGGATGGACGGAGCCGTGGGCGGAGCGGAGAGCGGAGCGGGGGGGGGAGGGGGAGCGGGGCCGCATGGCCGCGGAATGCGGGGAGCGGAGGGCGCCGCGAGGGGAGGAGGTACGTTCACCAATAGTAGCGTTACTACCAGTGGTGGTGGTAGAAACACTGATACTGCTACTGCTGGTACTGCTGCTAGTGCTGAAGCTACTAGTTGGCGCGCCGTAGATTAGGGAGCCTGCCACGTGGACGTGCGTGCTCCGTAGGATGCGCGCGTGGTCCAGCATGCTCTGCGCCGCGTCCGCCTCCCAGTCGATCTCTTCCATGGTGAAATTCGGCTGCGCAAGGGGGGAGGGATGGGGGGAGGAATAAGGCGAGGCGGAAAGGGGAAGGGGGGAAGTTAGGATGCGCGCGTGCTCCAGCATGCTCTGCGCCTCGTCCGCCTATTTCCTCCATGCTGAGGAGTCAGGAGGAGGCGGAATGGGGGGAGGGGTGAGGGATGGGAGGCGGAAGGGGGAAACGGGGGACGGTGGGAGTTAGCATGTGCGCCGCGTCCAAGCTCGAGAGCGAACTGGGGAAAAGCAACAGGGGTCTCTAAAGCAAGGAGGCGAAACGCAGGAGGGAGAGAACCCGTAAAAAAAAGGGTACGAGAGGGAGTGGAGGAGATGAGAGGACATACGTGGCTCGATTCAGCAGCAACCCGCGCGTCCGTTAACAATATCGCAGGCGCTCCTAACGCGGACGCGATCAGCCCGTTCACGGGCGCCGAGATAGTCCCGTCTTTTCAAGACGTCCCTTCCACCACCATGAAATCGTGCTCGCGTCGGCACCGCTCGTATGACATCAGCACATCGTCAAGTAAGTCGTCCACGCGATTCGCGTGTAGGAGAGTGGTCGCGCGGTCCTGCGTAACGCCGTACATGTCGCGCGCGGGGGGGGATAGGCGGAAGATCTTCCGCATGAGCTCCGCGCGGTTCCCGCCGTGCGTGGTGCAGTCGATCGGGCGGAAGTAGCCAATTCCGGGGGAGAGCGGCTCGAGCGCGTGAATCAAGCCGATGGTAACCGCAGCGGCTTGCACGTTGGAACCTACGCTGCGATTGGATAGAAAACCAAAAGGATAAAACATCTGAGACGAAATTGATTGGAAGAAAATGTGATTTTTGTTTTTTGAGCAAGAAAAACGAGGCCGTATTCCCACCAAAAAGTATTAGAAGTTGCCACAAGTGACGGTAGCTTTGCTGTTTTTTCGTGAGAATTTTGGTAATTGTTGTTACTATTCACGCGTACTTGGTGTGATGAAGGTAGATGTTGTCCGCACTGCCAATGCCACTGCTTGCAGCGGCCTTATCGGGCGGCTTATTGGCGCTCTCCACGCCGATGTCGCCGCCAGATGCGGCGGGACCGGCGCTGAAGCGCCTTGCGAACGCCAGTGGCGTGAGCTGCGTGAAATCGAGATCAACGTTGGACGGATACGGGGCTTGTGTGCAAACGAACGGTGCGTTGGAGGCGGTGGTGGGAGCAGCGGCTGCGTCCGGCCGGCATTTTTTCCATACGCTACCCCACCTGCGCGCCGCGACGCCGCCCATTCCGCCGGCAGCGGAAGCGGCGAGCGCGCTGAACGCGCGATTGGCGGCGTGACGCTGAAATTGCTGCGCCGCATGCGCGGCAAATAAGCGCAACATGATGATGCTGGGCGTTCGGAGGAGTCGCGGCGACGACGACGACGGGCGGAACGAAGGAGTCGCGGGCGACGACGACGGGAGGGATCAGGGAGATACGTCTGTTCGTTAGGCGGCTTGTCAATTACGAAATTGAGACGACGGGACGGCGATTGCGTATGACGAAATCTCGAAATTGACGCAGTTGAATGCACGAACGTTAATTTCACGCAGGAATGTGTACCAACACCGTTGATTTTCTACAGGGCTTTCGCTGAGGTGCGGTCGAAATTTTACAGTCACCGCGGTGGCTTTGAGTTTTTACTCATAACTGTGTACACATGAATGCGGAGATACACGGACGTTCTGCTTGAGAAACGCGGCTGGGAGTGACAGAGAAGCGAATTGAGATCTCTAATAAATTGGTCCAGAATGTCGAAAGGACGAACCAAATGGCGAGGGAAGTGGGGCGGAAGGAGAGAAGGAGCGGAGAGGCAGTCGAAGCCGCCAGCATTGCAAAGCTCATCTCGAAAGTGCAATGTTCATGTTCCTGTAGTTGGCATGCATGGCGGGGAAGTCGAATGACGGGCATGGTGCTTTGAGATTGCTGGATGGAGGCTGCCTTGGTTTGGCTTGGCTGCCAGCTTTGCGACAACGACGCGCTCCGTGCGACCATCGGGGACGCCTAAAACAAAACGGCTGTTTGTCAGCAATCAGGGCATTTCGAGGGGTGCGAGGAAGGTGGAATAGAAACCATTTCGAGTTAACTGTAGAAACAAGCATGAATGCCCTCGAGTGGTTGGCATCAAGGGGACAGGCTGTTGCTGTTGCGAGAGACTTTTGAAATACACTTTGTCAAGCCTCCTTAATCGGGGGGCAAAAAAGTCACACGACAAAGTGACCGCCTCGTGATTGCTCATCACAGTTCTTTGCCGTGAAGTACGGTAGCGAATGAACGTTCATTTCCTACCTGCCAATCACGATCATCGCAGACGTCACTTGCAAACAAAAAACACATTCTGTACAATTTGTGTGACCTTGAAATTGCAGTGGTCAATCGCTAGAATTCTGCCACTTTATCCTGCCCCTGGCTCCAGCTGCCCAAAAATTCACATCGTAAACTGTACAGAGACTGTTTCTGTCCACGATTCTCACGTCATAAATATTTATCGCCATGTCAGCAAGTCTCAAAAGCACGTCTCCAGGAGTCAACCGAGGTCGTATGCCACGCAACTGACTTCAAACTTCGTCCACCACTCCCAATTGTCGTACACGCGTGCCAGGGTACGGAATGCTGCCCAGCAAACAGCGAAGATCATGAATTTTGCTGAGCTGTTCCACGTCATAGATAAGGCCAATCGAGGCTAGTGCTTTCCGCGTGGAAATCGAGTGTCTCCAGCCCGATAGGTGGAAGAACCACTGTGTGCCACGTGATCTCCAACCCGACCGGGTGGTACACAGTGGTTCTTCGCGTGGCAGTGGTCCAGCCACCTCTCGATTTGGGAACACAATACCGCTGTATCGAGGTGCATGATAGCATGTACTGCTGTAAATTACCAAACCCATTATAGAGAGGTAGTAAGTGGGACACAATAGCCAGACATGGTAAAAAGGCACTATAACCCATAGCATGGTTACCATACCATCCAGCATCACAAAAAAATTAAGTAAAGCATTTCCCAATAAGCCTCTGAGTTCCTCATCACGCACACATCCCTACAGCACATATGACACAATCTTATGCGGAACCGCCCTGCCTGATGCTGCTGGTCTTCATGGCAGCTGCTTGCACGCCCGTGATTGCAATGGTTGTGACTATATCCTTCACAGTGCACCCCCGGCTCAAATCGTTCACAGGTCTCCTCAGCCCCTGCAGCACCGGACCCATGGCAACGGCTCCCGTGGACTGGACGGAGAGGGGGGGAAGAAGGCAAGAGTGAGCGAGTGGGAGTGGGAATGGGAGGGGAGAAGGGGAGGGAGTGCAAAATAGCAGGCACTCCAGGAGTGAGGGACTCCAGAGGTTTTTCAGAAAGTGTTTTTCTATAAGTTTCCGAGAAGCTTGAAAAGTCTCTTGCAGAAAGTAAGAGAGGTAGAATGCGAACGAGAGAATGTATACCCCACCAGCTGCTCTACCCTGCCTGCTAGCACAATCTCACCTGCTGCACTGCCTTGTACGTGTTGTTGCCCGTGTTGAGATCAGGGAAGATGAGCACCGATGCCTGGAGGGGCAAGGAGAGGGGATGAAGTTGGGCAGGGGAGGGAATAAGGGCTTTTGAGGCGCCTCAAGAGTCGTGTTGCTGCCCCTGTTAAGATCAGGGAAGATGAGCACCGATGCCTGGAGAGGAAAGGAGAGGGGAGGGAGTGGGGCAGGGGGAGGGGTACAGGAGTTTAAGAGGGGGGGATGGGATTACAAGAGGGAAAGATCACCCTCGTACTGCCTTGTACGTGTTGTTGCCGGTGTTGAGATCAGGGAAGATGAGCACCGATGCCTGGAGGGGCCGGGGAGGGAGGGGGTTAAAGGAGACTAAGTGAGGGGGATGGGGGAAAGGCCACCCTCTCACTGCCTTGTACGTGTTGTTGCCGGTGTTGAGATCAGAGAAGATGAGCACCGATGCCTGGTAGGACAGGGGGAGGAAGTTGGGCAGGGGAGGGAATAAGGGCTTTTGAGGAGCCTCAAGAGTCGTGTTGTTGCCCGTATTGAGATCAGGGAAGATGAGCACCGATGCCTGGAGGGGCATGGGAGTGAGTGGGGCAGGGAGAGCGGAGGGAGAGGGGAGGGAGAGGGGAGAGAGTGCCTCTGAGGTGCCTCAAGAGTCGTGAGGGATGGGAGGGAGAGATCACGAGGGGATGGATTCAGTCCAGATATACTCATAATTACAAACTCTCACAGGAAAAGACGCGCGTATTCATCTAGTTGCTAAATCGCTCACCTGCCCTGCCCACAGTCCACAGAGTCCCTTTCTTTTCCCCATATTCCCCACGCACCTGCCCTGCCACCTCAGACGTCTTCCCCTTGAGCTTCGTCTTGGCTGTCTCCATGTTCACAGCAGCATCGTACTGCAGCGGCCCCTCCACCATGAGGTGAGGCCTGCACTGCGCTCCACCCCTCCGGTTCCCATATCCACCGCACTACACCGCACTCCACCGCACTGCACCCACCTGCCCTGCGACTTCAGACGTCTTCCCCTTGAGCTTCGTCTTGGCTGTCTCCATGTTCACAGCAGCATCGTACTGCAGCGGCCCCTCCACCATTAGGTCTGGCCTGCGCTCGTGCACGATGGCTGTGGCATCTGCCACCTTCTGAATCAGCGGGCCTGCAAGAAAACAGGCAAGGGAAGAGGAGACGAGAGGAGGAAGGAGAAGGGAGGGGATGGGAGAGTGGTGCATCAAACACCGAGAGCATGACACATCAGTGACAGCAGCGTCGTACTGCAACAACACGTACAAGGCAGTCAGTGCACCTGGTTGGCTATGGTATGGCTCGTGTGCCATTGTAACGAGGTGACTTTTGAGTCGACTCCAAAGTCACCCACCTCCACGCGCCACCAAAGGCAGTCAGTGCACCTGGTTGGCTATGGTATGGCTCGGAGCCAACACTTTCAATGAACCTCCATTTCACAACCCCAGCATCCCACCACCCCAGCATCCCACCATCCCACCATCCCAGCATCCCACCATCCCACCATCCCACCATCCCACCATCCCACCACCCCACCATCCCACCATCCCACCATCCCACCACCCCACCACCCCAGCATCCCACCATCCACCTGTGTTGGAGTCCCCAGTGGCATATGACAGCAGGGCGACACGTGGCTCCACGCCAAAGGCACTAAGTGCACCTGGTTACCATGCCTCTGGAGTGAACGCTTTGAGCCCCCACGGACCCACCCACCTGTGTTGGAGTCCCCAGTGGCGTACGACAGCAGAGCAACACGTGGCTCCACGCCAAAGGAACTAGGTGCACCTGGTTGGTTTACCATGCCTCAGGAGTGAACGCTTTGAGCCCCCACGCACCCACCCACCTGTGTTGGAGTCCCCAGTGGCGTACGACAGCAGAGCCACACGTGGCTCCACGCCAAAGGCACTAAGTGCACCTGGTTGGTTTACCATGCCTCAGGAGTGAACGCTTTGAGCCCCCACGCACCCACCTGTGTTTGAGTCCCCAGTAGCGCACGACAGCAGGGCCACACGTGGCTCCACGCCAAAGGCTGCACTCAGTGCACCTGGTTGGTTCACTGTGCAAGATGGTGCAAAGCTATGGTAACGCTGGGAGTGAGCACTTAGTTAGAACCTGCATAAACCCACCTGTGTTGGAGTCCCCAGTGGCGTACGACAGCAGCGCGACACGTGGCTCCACGCCAAAGGCCGCCGCCGTGTCAGCGGATGACATGGCGATCATCGCAAGCTCCTCAGCCGTTGGATTGGTGTTGATGGCGCAATCGCCGTACACGAGAACCTTGTCGGGCAGACACATGAAGAAGACTGATGAGACGATGGGCGTTTCTGGGAGGGTCTGCGGTGGAAGGAGGCACAAGGGCAGGGGAGGAATGGGTGGGAAAGAGCAGAAGAATCAGGGTGTAAGGGGGAAGGGATGGAAGGGGGGGATTGGTGTTGATGGCGCAATGGCGGTACTCGAGAACCTTGTCGGGCAGACACATGAAGAATACGGATGAGACTATGGGGGTCTCTGGGAGGGCCTGTGTGGGAGGGAAGGGGGCGAGCACACAGGTGGGTGGGGCGAAGATTGGTGTTGATGGCACAACACAATCACCGGACACGAGGACCTTGTCGGGCAGACACATGAAGAAGACGGATGAGACGATGGGGGTCTCTGGGAGGGTCTGTAGAGGGACCGAGAGGGTAGGAGGGGACGGGCACACAGCGGAGAGATTGGGTGAGAGTGCAATGGCCGTACACGAGGACCTTGTCGGGCAGACACATGAAGAATACGGATGAGACGATGGGGGTCTCTGGGAGGGTCTGTGGGGGGAAGGAAGGGGCAGGAGGGGACGGGCACACAG